AATATTTTTTTTTACAAATAAATGACCTAATATTTTTACACTTCCTTTTAATTATATATATATATATATATTATATATATATAGTGAAGAAATAACAAGTGCTATTTTACATTGAAAATGTGTTTTTTTCTTAAAAATAGAGACATTTATATAGTGTTTTGATCCTCGTTATATTGTCTAACTAAGAAATCTAACCTCCTACCAGGAGAGAGAGAGAGGGAGAGATTGGGCCGGGGGAGGGAGAAAGAACTGTTAGTTTGTTTTCGTTAATCCTTTGGACAGGAGTTTGATGTTAAATAAGTTTTTTGATTATCCAGGACAATCTTGTCAATTTGGTTGTCATTTTGTTTATGGCTGAAAATGAAGTTTTATCAATTTAATCCCAAAATCTAAAAATTTTGTAACAATTGTTTTAATTTATTTTGAGAAATAATAATGGTTTAGTGGACATCTATTAAAAATTAACAGCCATTACGTCTGGGGGAGACGAGGTGATCAAATACCTTCCCAAAGGAAAAAAAAAAAAAAAAAACATCATATCGATCCTAATTAAAAGAATTTCAAATGAAACAATGGGTTCCATTAGACATTATAAACCCGTACATTCAAAAAAAAACAGCGCCTGGTATTCGCAACTTGATCATCTATCTATGATTAAAGACTGATTGTATAGCATTTGATCGTTATCAAAAGGTGTTTCATCGAGATGTACAGTAGCAAAGAACTTTCAGCCGTTTTCTATAAAAAAAAGATAATGAAAGAAGGATAGATATTCTAAGAGTATTTATGTTGCTATTTAATTTTCAAGGAAATGAATATGTTTTCAGCTAAGAATTCAAGAGAATAGATATTTTAAAACATAAAAATAATGGGTTTTAAAAAATTAATTTAACGTTAAATTAGATTGGAACAGTTTTTTTGTTTGGTTTAGGTTTGGTTTATTTTGTTTAAAATCATATCAACAAGACAATGGGTTATTTAATGTCGACAACAATATTTGTATGGATTCATATTTCTTGAATACGTTCAAAAGAAAAATTAAAGACCAGGTTTCAAATATATTACTAAAATATTGAAAAAAAAAAATATTCATCTGAAATATATATATTTTATGAAAATATAAAATATCAGAAACATTTATGAGGATTTTGTTTTTAATTGATATATTACAAATGAAAAAAAAAAAAAATAAAACAATAATGAAAACCTTCACCTGAGAATTTTTAAAATGATTCTATTTTTAAACTCTTCACTTTCAGATATGGCAAGGTTTTAATGTAATTTTTTTTTTGGATCAACTGATGGTTGTATAAAAAATAAAAAGTTCCGCAAACTTTATAAGTTTTATTTTTTCACAACTGCAAACATCTTATTCTAAATAATAAAATACTATTTCAATATGAAATATTGACCAAAAATTAATAAATAGGTCTTTTGGTCAGCTAATTGCATTTTGATTTGAACTTTCAAAAAAAAAAATATATATTCTTTTGAAAAATGATTTTGTATTTAGAACAAATTTTATCTACATATTTTAATTTTGATTTTAATATTTATTTCTTATTTTTTCATGGAGAATGATAGTATATTTTAATTATTCTGATTATCATTCAATTTTATTTCCCAAACTGTAAAAGATATAAACAAAGGTTCAATTCATATAGAATGAAATTTCCTTTTTATTTTAATTTGTTTCTTTCCCTTAAAAAAATTCAATTCATTACAAAAGGTTCCTTATTTAATCATAAATTTTTCTAAAAATTCGTTCATAGAAATAAAAATGTATTTCATTTAACATGATGGTTTTGATTTTAGAAATGGTGAAATTGTGGCTCATATTAATCCCACGAAGTTCATCTTAAAAAATCTGTGAAAATTTGATTTTAACAACAGTTTTCCATATTGATGTAAAAAATTTCTTCTTGATTTATATAAATTAAAAATGTTTACTTCCTATTTGTTCTTTTGATAAATTTTACTGTTTGTTTATATTTATACATTGTTGGTATTTTGTTTTAGAAAAATTAAATATATATAAAATAAAATTCACTTTAATGAGCAAACAATATTTTGTCAATTGAAATGGAATGTCATTTTTATGATGAAAAAAAATTAAACTTTTTTTTGAATTCAAGTCATATAAAACAGTTAGTGGTGAGTTGGGACCATTGATGACATGTTTTGCACTTGAAAAGAGCTTGATAAAATTAAATTCAGATTTTACAACATAAAACACATACCTTTTCCAAATCATGACAAGGTCAGTAGATTCAGTTCATATGCTTACCAATGGAAATTACATTTAAAAAAAAAATTTTGTTGATTTTTATATGCCTCAATTAAACCATGTAGAATCAAACAATACCACATTTTTCAGCTATAATATTTCTTGAGGGCAGTTTTAAAAGCCTAATGACATTTAATTGCACAGGAAAGTTAATGTTGAATGTGATGTGTTTAATTTTCTACCAGCATCTTTAACAATGCATGTCTTCATGAAAACCTGAATTCACCTAACCATTTTCTCATTTTCACAAGATTTCAAATGTTCAGTTCACTTAAAAGTTCCAAGGATTTGGAATATTGTTGGCATCAGATGACCTGTTTAATCATACATGTGTGTTTATTTAAACATTTGTTATCTCAGAAAAAAAAAAGTTAACCAATTTTCCAGAACTCTCTCTTTCTCTTAACTAATGACAAACATTTTACCAGTATCTTCTGACAAATCAAATGGAAATTTTAGTAAAACATAAAATACAACATGGCAATTACAATTTTGCGCGGAATTTTCATTGTTCGCAAAAAAAAAACGATGCTGAATACACAAGTGGTACGTATCCATTTTCTTTTAAATAATACATCAATTTTCAAAATAATGAATAGCTTTGTTTTTTTTTGTGTTGCAAACAAACGCTGTGAAATTATTTCAATTTATGTTGCAGACATGTTTCAAATAAATTCTTTTACCCTTTTGATTTTGAAATTGTTTTTTTTATCAACAGTAGAATTCATTAAAGAGGGTAGGTTCAGAACATTTTTTTTTATTCTGAAAAATTCTTTTAAAAATTATGGCATAAAAATGACATTTCAACATATAACTAAAATTTAAAAACACAAATTTTTTGGAAATTGGTTTTCTTTCAATGTAAAAAAATCATTTATATTTTCTCATTTCAAGATTCTTGGAAAGATAGATGCATGACCCAACTGTTAATCAAGTGTTTTTTTTTCTTTTTTTAAAGAGAATATTTTCCTTGAAGAAATCTATAGCTGGTAATATTTTTTTTTTAAAATGTATAGCTGTTTGCCATGCTGGTATTTTTTTTTAAAGTATTGCTGATAATAATTCTTCCTTCAAAAATTATTGCTTATAATAATTTTTTTTTTATTACTACAAAGTATTTCTGGTATTAAAACATATTTTTATACAAGTTTGGGTGTTAACTATTTGCCCATATCTGGGACCCTAACAGGTGCTACCACCCTGTATCAGGGTAGACCTGGGAACACCAGCAATTAAGAGGTGGTTCCACACTCTTCAAAACCTCCTGATCAGAAGCCTTCCTATTGGCCATAGTTTATCATCATACCCAGGACAGAATATATCCTGTGAGTATCAAATTCTCCAAGCCATATTTCCACATTATGTGCTCTAGAAATTTTAACTGTCCATTTCTGATGCTGTATTATAAATGTCCTTTTTTTTTTTTTAATTTTTCTAAAAAAATAGTTGCTCATATGTTCAGTCCATGGTATTTTCAGCATACTTCTGTAGAATCAAATTTCTATCGCCAAATCTTTTCTTCATCTGTGATGAGATTATCCAGCATTTTACTTGTCATAGAGGAGGATTGAGATTACATTTGCAATCCTGTATCCTTTTCAGTACACTTTCTTTTTTTGTTTCTAATGAAATGTTCCTCTTTCTTAATAATTTGCTTAGTTTTTGGAAGGCATCTTTTGCTATTTCAGTTACACCTTCTAATTTTGGTGTTGCATTTTTTGTCCTCTATTAAAACACTTTCTAGATATTTACATTTTCTACTTGCATCTATTTTGATGAGTTACAATTTTAGGCACTTCCTTTTGATGAAAAACATACCTTCTGTCTTCTTATGATTGGGGTTTAGTCCTTTCTTGCTTTATTTTACTGCCTTGTGTAGTTTCTGTCTTTGCTTTAAAATTATTGCTCATTTATTTACATTTTCATCACAAAAGATCAAGCTCAACCTTGAAACTTACAAACAACTCTACACTTGATTTGATCTGTTTTTTTAATGGCATATCAACTTCTTATGGGTCATTTAATGCCAAAATTTAATTTTCTTGAGGACTTTGAAGTAATAAAAATATATGTTATTCTGCTTTCACAATTGAATACATGGTAGATGATACTCAGCTTTTGTGCATATACATGTTTGTGTGGACATAATTACTAAAAGGTGTTGATATGTGTGTTTTTATGTAGTTTTGTTTAAGTTATATTTTGGAATATGGTTTGATTTCTTTAAGAAATTGTAGGATATTATATGGATTAATATCATGAAAGATTTCTTTCAGGTTGGTTGTTTGGTAATATTTTAAATGGATTTAGTGAATTAAGCTACAATTTGTTAGTATAATTTTGGCATGGCATACAGATTGGAAATGGTTCTTGTGTTAAAATAGAAGTGTGTTATCATGGAGTGTCTGATATTAAATCGACATTATTACTTCATCTTTCCTTGTAAACGTTTTAGTAATACAAATCTTACTAATTAACCCATAACTGGGGGAAAGAGGTGGATTCATACCTTTCCCCAAGGGTATTTTGCACATAAGAAAATATAATGAACCTAACTGAAATTGGAACTTGGTTCTCCAATAAACAATGCCCAGCCATTATTCATTACATCACCTGCACATTTAAGCTTACAAACACCTTGCATCTCTAAGCAGTCACCCATCTATGTACTGAACAGTTGTTTAACTTAAGTGATTGTACAGGAACCAGTGTTTCAACATGATGTGGCTGTAATCTTGAAAGATTTTAGAGAGAAAAGAAAGAAGGGAGGGATGATGAGAGAGAAAAACAAGAGGGAGGGATGATGAGAGAGAAAAAAAGAAAGAGGGAGGGATGATGAGAGAGAGAAAAGAAAGAGGGAGGGATGATGAGAGAGAGAAAAGAAAGAGGGAGGGATGATGAGAGAGAGAAAAGAAAGAGGAGGGATGATGAGAGAGAGAAAAAGAAAAAAGGGAGGGATGATGAGAGAGAGAAAAGAAAATGAGGAGGGATGATGAGAGAGAGAAAAGAAAGAGGGAGGGATGATGAGAGAGAGAAAAGAAAGAGGGAGGGATGATGAGAGAGAGAAAAGAAAGAGGGAGGGATGATGAGAGAGAAGAAAGGAAAGGGAGAAAAGAGAGAGAGAAAGAAAATTGAGAGAGAAAAGAAAGAGGAGAGAGAGAGAGAAAGAAAGGAGAGAGAGAGAGAGAAAGAAAAAAGAAAGGAAGACAGAGAGAGAGAGAAAGAAAGAAAACGACAAGACAGAGAGAGAAAGAGAAAAAATGAAAGAAGAGAGAGAGAGAGAGAAAAAGGAAAAGGGAAGACAGAGAGAGAGAGAGAAACAGAGAAGAGAGAGAAAGAAGGAAGACAGAGAGAGAGAGAGAAAATTTATTGAAGACAGAGAGAGAGAGAGAAAGGAAGACGGGAAGACAGAGAGAGAGAGAGAGAGAGAAAGAAAGAAAGAGAGAGAGAAAGAATGAAAAATTTTCTTTTTCTGAGTGAGAGAGAAAAGTAACAGGGAAAATGAGAGAGAGAGAAACCAAAAAAACACAGGGAGAGACCTATGCTTAAAAAAAAAAATACTTTCTCAATACAGAGATAAAATGTCCACAGTATAAAAATGGACAGAGTCTGGTGAAATTGTAAACGTTGGTTTGAATTCACAGACTGACTGCACGGACAGGGAAACTCTCTTAAACAAGACATCTGACCACTTTCAACGCCACATAACAGAGAAATTCTCAAGAGGCAACACAAGACATTTAGCAAACAATTTCTAAATATTTATCAACAAATGTTGCAATACTACATCTTGGATTCAGACTGGTTTCTGTATTATGAGCAGGCATCTAGACCACACCTTCATTTTTGCATCTTAAACCATTTTTTTTATTGGTTTATTTGTAAAATCCACAATAAAATGTGCAGAGAAATAATTGCTGTGTTAATGTAGTTGTGGCTACGTTAACATTGGTTAGCTAAAAAAGGAGAGCAAGAGGATGAAAATTGAGCATTGAGGGTAGGTCGGTGGGGTGAGGGGGAGAGTTAGGAGTGGGCAGAACTTTCTAAACAGTTTGCAACAGGTGCACTGGTTTAGTGCACATGCCCTAATGAAAATACAATAAAACACAGTATGCAATATAAATGACATATGCATGAAAGATGACACATACACAAAAAACACACACTTCCCTTAGAATTTCATTTTATTTGCTTTTTCTTGTTTTCAGTTTTTTGTTTTTTGGGTTTTTTCTTTAGTAAGCAAAAAGATTACTAAATGTCAACACCGAATTATTCTTTCAAAACTTATTTAAAAAATAAAAAATCTTTTTTTTTACTAAATTTAATAAAGCCAACACGAAAGATAAACTGAATTCTGTTCCTTTAACAAGATCAGAAAGAAATCTAATTTTGGCAAATGATGTTACAATTATTAAATAGATTAATTCAACGTATTGATTGTTAAAGATGACATTTCATCCATTTACCTTCTGGTTATCTTCAGGAGAGAGTTGGATTGAGAACAATAGTCTGAGTAGACCAATGTATAATGACAATTATTCATTACTAAAAAAAAAAAAACAATTAACTAAATGTCAGGTTAGAACTGTACTTCAATGGCTGGTTTTATTGTCATTAGGCAACAATTCTTTTTAATAAAACTGTATTATCCTTTTAATAGCTGTTTTTTCCCTCATATGATAAGTTGGCCTTTTTATGTGCCAACATTGTCAAAAAATAATTATGACATCATTAATAATCCTCCAAGTTTTGTTCAGACAAACGCCTTTTGATTTATCACATTGTCTGATTAAAATCCCATCTGCAGCCTGCTTCAATTTTAGAGTCATTAATACTATTTATAACCATATTTTTGAATAATATTGACATTAATTCCTTACCAAAGTGATCAAATACCTTTCTTCAGATTTTGTAAAAATTTTTCTGAAAAAAAAACTTATTAATATGTTTATAGGGATATTTTTTCTCCTTATTTTCAATGAATTTAATTATAATTATAAAAATCCCTATTCTGGTAGTAATTTCATTAAACTAATAACAATTAATTTTGTCCTAGTATGTAATACAGAAAAATTTAACTCTAGAATCCCAATGTTTATGGCTTATTCTATATCACATTGAATTCTGGTTCTTTCCCTCACAAAAGTTAAGCTATGTTCAGCCTGGTCTGTACCTAGATGATATAACAACAAGGAATACTTTAAGGCTGTAGCTTGAATTTGCCAATGGTGTAATGGATAATGGCTCTCCAATTTCACAATTCTGAGCTAAGTTCCAATTCCAGTTGTGTTCATTATCTTCAATTATATACAAATATCCAGCTTGTGTATGAATCCACCTCTTCTCCCCCCAGCTATGGGTTAATCAGTAGGAATTGGATCAGTAAATCAATTATTATCAAAAATCATTCTTACATTCTAAAAAAATTTTCTAGGAAAAAAAAAAATAAAAATTTATATATATATATATATATATATATATATATATATATATATATATATATATTTATTTTTGATAGGGGGGGATGCAAATCCCAATGTATATTAAGGACACACATATATATATATATATATATATATATATATATATGTGTGTGTGTGTGAAGAATTACACTCTTAAGGTATAAGTTAAAGAAAGTTCAGACTCAAATAATGGTTGCATATGCCTATTTTCTCCACTTGTGTATGGAGGTGGGAACAGGTCATTTAATTATTTGCATTTTTAACAATGACCTTCTTTTTCTTTGATAAAAAATAAATCATAATTTTCATTATAATTTAATTACATTCCTGGATTAATTTTTTTTTTTTTGAATTATTGTTTTATTTTTCATGAATACATACTTATTTTTCTGAAGATCCAACACTTGCTTCTCTCTCTTTACACATTTTACTTGTATGTTCCCAATATATATATATCTGAAGAAATATAGTTTTAATGTGTGCTATATTTATGGGATAAAGTTCTCAATATCAAAATAGAGTGTGTCAAATATATATATATATATATATATATATATTATGAATAGATAGATAGAGAAAAGATTGGGATAGAGACAGAGATAATGAAAAGTCTAAGATAGATACAGGTTTTGAATTCAAAGTTTTCCTTCTAAACTCTTTGCCAATGAGGCTAGAAAGCCTGGTCTACACTGCTTTTTTAAGTTCTATCTGGAGAGTGAAGGTATAGATTTATACTTTTGGGTGATAAAATATTTTCTCCCCTACAACCCCTTTTTCAGACAAAAATTGAAAAAAATCTCACTATTGCTATTTCCATGGAAAATGTTCTGACAAGCTACATTCCACTAACTGTAATCCTCACAGCTAAGACAAACCACACCATACACACTGAGGCGAACCAACCTCATTCCTTTCATATTTCCATTAGTAAGAAAAAGTTTTGTATTTTATTTTAACAGCTTCTTCCCATGAACTGCTATTTTGTGGAACTTACTCCCAAGAGGATGCTTTTCCAACCATAATAATCTTAACCCGTTCAAGGCTAAGGTTAACTTTTCCGACCTATGTGGAAAACTGTATCTCTTACTGTGAACACAACAATCCACTTCAGTAACCTCTACCTTGAGTGGCTTTTGGACTTTGTAAAGAGAGAACACTAGTAAAAAATAATATTTGTATAAAAAAGTAAATTATTTTTGAACTCATCATGGCAGTCTAAATTTCCCAGCTCTTAACTACTATTTTATATACACATCCATATTTAGGTGTGGAGGAGAGATTTATGACAAAATGGAAATGTTTTTGTGTGATGTGTTTTGTCCCTTAGAACTTCATCAGCCTTGGTTCATTTACATTGATGTGATTACACCTGTTCATCGCACAAATGAGAGATGCTGGGAATTTTAAATTTAGAAAAAATTTTTAATGTGTTTGGGTATATAATTGTTGTGAGGAGAATATTTAGCTACTTGGTCATCAGACAAAGACATAAAATACTCCTACATCAAGAGGGTAGCAGAAGGAACAGTAACTTTTGACTGAAAACAGTCATTCATGGCTAAACCTTCTCTTCTCTAATTTCAATTCTACATTATGTTTCCCAGTACCAAAAAGGTAATAAACTTGTTGTTAAACCAATTCTGGTTTTCTACTGTTGTTTTTGATAACTCAGTTACAACAATAATCTAGCCAATTTCTTTTAAATTCCTTTTCTTTTTTTTGTTTCCCATCTTTGTTATTAAATATCCCTTTGTGATAAAAGAAGAAGATCTGCCAAGAATGGTGAAATGTTCTAAGAACATGGATGCAAATTTTCTGTGGATGAACTAGAAATTAAAGCACTTTCTAAACATTTGTCTTTGTGAATTATTTTTCTTTTAATTAGAGTCTAGGTTCTTACATTTCACTATTCTTGATAGACCGTCTGTTACCACCATGTAGAATATTTAATAACAAAGATGACTAAAATAAAATAATCTAAATGAAATTGACTAGATTATATACTCAAAATACAATTAAAAAATATTTCTAAATTTAAAATTCCCGTGTCTCCTTTTGTGTGTGCATGTCATATCAATGTAAAAAGAATCTAGTCCACTGAAGTCATAAGGAACAAAAGCATGTCACATGCAAACTTTTACCACTTCCTCTGAAACTGTTCTTGATATATAAAAAATTTATATATTGTTATCCCATATTTAGGTGTTTTACAAAAATGTATATATATTATATATAATATATTCATATGATTATAATATATATATATTTTTTTTTTTTTTTTTTTTTTTTTTTTTTTTTTTTTTTTTTTTTTTTTTTTTTTTTTTTTTTTTTTTTTTTTTTTTTTTTTTTTTTTTTTTTTTTTTTTTTTTTTTTTTTTTTTTTTTTTTTTTTTTTTTTTTTTTTTTTTTTTTTTTTTTTTTTTTTTTTTTTTTTTTTTTTTTTTTTTTTTTTTTTTTTTTTTTTTTTTTTTTTTTTTTTTTTTTTTTTTTTTTTTTTTTTTTTTTTTTTTTTTTTTTTTTTTTTTTTTTTTTTTTTTTTTTTTTTTTTTTTTTTTTTTTTTTTTTTTTTTTTTTTTTTTTTTTTTTTTTTTTTTTTTTTTTTTTTTTTTTTTTTTTTTTTTTTTTTTTTTTTTTTTTTTTTTTTTTTTTTTTTTTTTTTAAAAAAAAAAATTTATTAATAATAAAAAAAACAAATATATTTTTTATAT